GAATGGGTAAAGTCATTAAAGCAGGCAATAAAAATAAACTAATGGCCTTATTAATAGACAACTGATATCATAGCAGCCACTAAGGCTGCTATAATTCATTAAACTCAGCATCATTCCTAGTAAAAGTAACCAATGAAAAAAAGGAAAAGCTAAGTGTATATAATTTTGTTACATTATAAGAAAAATAGGGAAAATATATAACAATGTCAACTCATAAATATATTTTTTTTATTCGGAAATATTTAAGTGTGTTTTTGAAAAAAGAAATTACAATGATAAATTTATGAATTACAGTGAAAATTTTTGAATCAAACTAAAAATAGAAAAAACTGATAAATTCAAATTTGTTGATCATTTAACAAATATGAAAACTTAATACATAATAATTACACTATTACAAAAATACATTTCAAAATGCAACTACAAATAATAGCATTTACACAGGAACACTTACATTTTAGTGAAGGATATATTATAAAGATACATATTTCAAATATACATCATTTCTGCCATTGATGACATTTTCTTCGGGATATGGACAAGCGTTTCAAAATAACTGGCTAGTTCATCAATTGTGACATCACAGGGTGGGTTTAGAGCTTGTTGTGAACAGGAACCTGTGTGACTTTTCTCTATGCCTGGCTCTTTACCTGTCTTATCAACCAGAACATCATTTTTCCACCATTTATTTTTAACATTTGATTCAGTTTTAAAATGATTAGGTCCATAATCACCTGATGATATACTTAACTGATTACAAGTATCTACAAGTGTTTTCAAACACAAGTTATCAGAGCTGAATTTATGTACTGTCAATTCACATTGATTTAACAGATCTGATTTTTGGTTTATTCCCATATCATTGATTACAAAACATTTTGAGAATTTTAAGACAGGTTCTCTTAGAAGTCTATTATGTTTTTTTTTAAAGATAGTAATGCTTTTATTCTTCTTTGGTGTTTGACAAACACATTTTTCACTATGAATGCAGGGTTTCATCATAAACCATTTCTTATGCTGTGATTTTGATGTAAAAGGGTTTTCATCTTTCATTAGTTTATTTAGCTTGATTGGTTCAATTTCCAATCTTCCCATCCCAACTCTTAATGAAACTTCTTCTCTAGCCATAGCTATGGAGGCTGTAACATTAACATTGCATTTGTTTTTTTAACATTATAAGATGCTATAATTCATACTTCATACACATACTGTAATTTCTTTTATTGTTAACATTTATTAGAAGCAGTCTCTAGTAGCTATTTGCTTAAAAAAATCTTTGAAATTGAAATTTTCTTGAAAATGGGAAATTATAAGGGTTTAAGTGGAGAAAACTGTAGTCATCTAATTTTCCTCATTAATAATTTATAAAAATTTAAGAGAATACCCTAACTTTTTCTATTAATGTTTTTATTACTCCACAATTCATAATTATGATTTCTCACTGTAATAATGAAAGAAATTGGTTCGAATATTACATTTTTGTTTTGTGTATATTTATTAATTGTTTGTCCTTTATTAGATAATTAATACAGACAAAATAAATTAAACCTCATATTATAAACAGTTACGTATTGAACACAAAATATGTTTGTAAATAAGATAATGTCAGAAATGATCATAATACCCATAACTGAATGTTTACTTACAATGATGTGATTTAACTGAAAACTTTCGCATTGCACAAGTCATCCAAATGTAAAAGAAAATATAGTCTCTGTACAGTAGTCTACGTAGATGAATCGCAGTGTTTATTAATTATTATGTCACAACACAGAATGATATACAAAACTTATGACACTTTTATTGTTTTCTTTAGTAAATTAATCAAAATTATAGACCAATACTTGTGAACCTACCAGTCTCTAAAAGAGTCATTTTACGATATATTGATGGATATGCAATATTAAAAAAAGAGTTGTTTTTGTCACGTTGTTATTGTATGACTACAAGATGTGGAGCCATTGAACAGTACCAAAACCAATCCTTCACGTCAGCAATAAATGATTTTGAATGCTGTATGCGATACCGAGATATATGAAACTTACGTTATTTACGTGTCATAAATAAATTTATTTAACTCTGTTACACAAGAATCGAAAAACACAAAAATATTGTTTTACTTTTAGACAACAATGAACAATGACAAAGACAGACGTCGACATTACAGAATAACAATAATACACATAGATGACGAAAATTTAAAATCAGCGACATCATTTAAAATCGCGACAGACAGACAAGAGAGTGATCTTATTCTTATAAGGTTTCCTTTTTATACCTTTTGATAGAGAGATCTTCCTTTTTATATGGAACCCTAAAAAGTATCTTTTTATTAAAATGATAATCTGGGAAATCATATAGTACCACACTCACACTGATGCCAGAAAGATTTTACGTTTGAAAGTATGTATATCAAAATGAAAAATTATTGAAAACTATATGTGGGCAACATCCTGCTTCGCAGTCCTGCACTGTAGAATACCAGGCAGGTTAATAAATTGGCCATGGGTCCGTTTAAATACGAAACTAAAAATGATGCCAAAGAAGTATAATAGTTTTTAATAATAAAAAGGCTGGAAAACTCGGTGGTAGGGCCACGCAACACTGCTGCACGATTGGGCAGGTCCGTCCAGGTAAGTACCACGACCTCACAGAAGACCGGCGTAAAGTAAAAGTGTTACACTTTTGCGTTTCGTCTGGCGCGTGAGGTAGCAGAGGCCCACATTGTTTAAAGTTGGCAACGCATTTGCAACCCTATGGGTGTTGCAAATGTCCATGAGTGGCGGTTGTCACTTAACATCAGTTGAACCGCCAGCTCGTGTGCCGCTTTTTCACATTTTTTTTATGCGAAACGTTGTCAAACGAGCATACGGTTCACCTGATGTTAAGTGAATACCGCCTGCCGCCAATGGACATCTGTCACACCCGAGGGTTACAGATGCGTTGACAACTTTTTGAAAATTGGGCTCCGGCTACCTCACTCACCAGACGAAACGCGAAAGTATTTTTCATACTTGCACTTTACGCTGGTCTTCTGTGAGGTCGAGGTACTTACTTGGACGGGCCTGCCCACTCGTGCAACTCCCGAAGCTGCTACGTGACCCTACCACCATCAATATCATAATAAATAAATAAATTATGAAATTATGAAAGGCCATCTATATTATTTATTGAGAACTGTAACGGTTAAAATAAATAAAATAAATAAATGTGATTGAGAATATGCTGCCATCGATAAAAAATAAGCAGTTTAGCGGGCAGCTTCAAAGGTGTGACTTTCACTTTTATGTTAGAGTGATGCGCGCGCATCTAAAAATTTCAGTCCCATAATTTTTTGATAACGCGCCTAAAGAAGTATAACTTCAATTTATAGAAATTGCCACGTATTCGATACTATTTTAAGTTTTTTTTGTAAATTTATTTATATTTTAATTGCATAAAATTGTAAAATATTAATCAGTTATACAATTTGGACTCATTGAACGTCACAGCGTTAAATAAAATCATGCTAACTGATATAAGTATTAGCTTAAAGGTCTTGTTACAAGGCTTTATAAACTTTGTTAAAAAAAAGTATTATCGTGCACGCACGGTATCAACACCAAATCAGAGTTGCGTTGAAAATTATATTGAAATTAACACGATTTCGATAGTTGAAACTAAATATCGAACATACATATATCGGGAATAAAAATATCGACGATATATATCGATATTTTTAGCCATGCCTAGTCGTAGACAAAGAGAATGTAATCACTACATTTAGGAGACGGGACTTCCCTATTAGCCAAAAATATCAGTTTACGCGGCACTCCAATACCAACCATACCACAAAAATACCACAAAGGTGTCAAACAACATGAGTACCAACGTAACGAGCCAAATAGTGCTTAACTAAGCTAGCTTAGCTTCTTATCGATATCGATAAAAGATACTAGGTAGAAACCGAGGTTTCCGCATTTTTTTATTAATTTTAGTAGGTAAGTATCGAGTGCGTATTTATGTCCATTGTTCATGAGGGGATATTATGGACTTGAATACGGACCCGAAATAAGATAAAAAACGGTTTCTGTTAATTAAAATAAAATTTGTTTCTTGATTCTTCAGCCAACAGCTGTTGTTCTACAGTACACGAGTCTGGAAATAATTGAAACATAAAAATAGAATCAAAATCCAAAAATTATTTTAGTTTTCTTGCATACTCAGCGCACGAAATTGATTATATGACGTATCAATATTACAGAGATTGTGTATCAAAATCCTGCAACATTCACCTATTCCAATCCTTGCTCATTTATGTAGGCACACCATTCAAATATGTTAAACTTTTTGCACCTACTCTTTCACGCAACATTTTATTTCTTTTTTTTTAATGATTATCATTAACGTAGTTATGATATGTGGATATTACAGTTGCAGTACATCACTAGCACACAATTTAAATGAGATAAATTTGGTAATTTTATTTGTTCCTAACTGCAAAGTATCATATTTAAGTGCTTACATGGCCTTCATCTAGGTAAATCTCGCCATAAACATCCTTTTTTCAAGATTCGAACGACTTGATCGATTTTCACCAATTTCACAGGTAATAAATCGTCTTTTAGGCATTTTGAATTAAAAGTACAACTCTGATCACCTGTCACTACTTTTCGTGAGAAAGTTTATTCTAAACAATTTAAATTCACAATGAATAAGCATATCAAAATACGCGGTGCGAAATTAAGTTTTGACAAACAACATGGCACTTCTTGTATTGCAAGAAAGAGAAACCGCATTGAGGGAGAGTGATAGCAATGTTCGCCATTATTTGCCGCGTAAAGTCCATAGAAAAATTTTTTGTTCCTAGTTTCGCCAGACTGGTCGTAGATAAATAAAAAGTAAAGCGCTTATGCGCCTAGTGCTCTGCGGTATTTCGTCGATTTCGTTTTCGTCAGTGTAATTCTAATACTACAGTTAGTAAAGTTAGTATAATTGTATTGATTTTCAATAATTTTATAATGGAACCGAATCCTGTAATTATCGCTTCGACGGCGAAACAAACAGCATCTGTAAGTTTTTAAAACTCGATATCTACATTCATTAAATCACATTTTGTGGATAATAAAGTTTTTTTCATGTTTACAGCTGATATTCTTACACGGTCTTGGTGACACTGGGTATGTCATTTAAAGTGCATTGGAAGTTTTATGTTGAAAAGTATGAATGCTACGAGTACAGTAATTTAATTTCTTTTTAATTTTTACAGTCATGGTTGGGCGAGTACTATTGCCGCTATCAGAGGTCCTCATGTCAAGGTGATTTGCCCTACTGCTTCTACGATGCCTGTGACACTTAACGCTGGCTTTCGAATGCCTTCATGGTTTGACCTTAGAACTTTGGATGCAACTGCTCCAGAAGATGAAGAAGGTATCTTGAGAGCTACAAATCTTATACATGGGTTAATAAAGGATGAAGTTAAGGTAAACTATCTTTTGTATGTTTATTTTATTTCTTATATTCCTAGCAATTTAATTTCTTATATTCCATTTTACAAACATTTTGCTTTTAATTCACATTACATAGTATAATATAGTGCATAATATTAATCATATTATAGTGAAAGTTGAAAACTACAAGGGTAACTGAAAATGCAAATCATGCTTGTGTTGTTTCAATCAGCAATTTAGAATAATTTATACATTGACATTATTTCAAATTTATAGATTGTAATAAATTTTCTTATTCTTCATAGTCTTCCGGTTTTAATTTAAACTGATTCTTTTTAATAATATGTGTACAATTTAATTTTTTTATAGTGCAAATAAATTTTACTGTGATGTGTTCCTATTTTAGGCTGGCATTCCTGCAAACCGTGTCATGTTAGGAGGCTTTTCTCAAGGGGGAGCTCTAGCCCTACATGCTGCTTTGACATATCCTGAACGTTTAGCTGGTGTGATGTCACTATCATGCTGGTTACCAAGACATGCTCATTTCCCCGCTTGTGTAAAAGCTCCCTCTGATGTACCGGTATGTAATATTATTCTACATCTTTATAGGAATTTATGAACGAAAAAAGTACTGGATTACTTAAAGAGTTATCCTGAAATTTAAGATATACCTATTCTAAATGTCTCCTTATGGGTACGTTCTTTGGAAGTAATTACAGAATTAAACTCTGACCATCGCCCTGTCAAGTTAGTATGAGGCCAGTCAGGCATGTCGATGGTCGTTATGATCGTGACGATCGTGACTGAAAGGGAAAAGTTAGGTCACGGGCTCCAACCCACTTTGATAAAATCGAGTCAAACCCGATCTCGCGTCACACATCCAAATAGTCGTCGGAGTACTTGCGACAGTTGCAGAATAAACCAAAACTCAGAAACCAAAGGTCGGAACAAACGGGCACTCAACATTTAAAGGGACGAAGCCCTTATGAACCACTTCATTAAACATTTACATTCTTTAAACATCAATATTTACCGAGTTATTAAATTTTACGAAACAAACACTTTTAGAACACCCTTACGTATTAAACTGTAACGTAAAGTTCATTTGTAAGGGTCACAAAACATATTGGGTTGAATGAATTTAAAAGAGACAAAACATACTGTTAGAATGAGAGGCTTGTAATGCGACGCTGTGGCAACGAATAAAAAGGCTCTCAATCAGTCAGTTGCAGTTGTATAGGTGTTACAAATTTTGTTTCTTTTTTATTCCATTAGTTTGTTTGAAAAAAAATTTTTTTAATTATGGATTTTTTTAACGTTAATATTTTTTTATGATTATTGGCAAGTAGCGTTAGACGTGTGTTCATTTATTGTCGCGGCGGTAACGATACGCTGTATAGATATAGAGAAAGATACTCCAACGCGCAAATACCGAAAACTCGTCCAGAAACGCTCTTCCTAGTCTACACACAGGCGGAAATAGAGGGTATGGATCGGGCGACGGTTCGCGGGTTCCCACGTAGCACAAGGACTGACATACGGGTCGGTCGTTTTCATGCGTACAAAAGCGAGCAAGCTACAGCTGCACGACTCGATGATGATCTGCGTCTTTGGTTCGCATTCTATCCTACTCAGGTGCTCATCAAGGCAACCGTGCCCGGTGATTACCTTCGTCAGCCGAAAGGTGACGTGCGCATAACCCGTTTCACTTAGCCAGGCATTGAAGCTCGGCACGACAGCGCTGACAACTCGTTGGCGCGAGTTCTATAGCTTTTCCAGCCGTCCGCGTACATTATTAAGCAAATTAGATTACATTACCTGGATGACCGAGTTTTCTTGTATTTTTTTTTCTCACAAAATACGGAACTTGATTTAAGTAGTTATTAGATTAAGAATAAGATTAAAGTAGCTATTAGATTATTTTTTATATTTTTACAATAAATCCATAGATGATACGAGATACATGCATACTCAAATCTCACTTGAAATTGCGGGGAGGTGGTGGGGGGTAGAGACAAATCTCACGAAATCTCACAATTTTAAAAATCTCTAAAATAACCTCACCTAGTTGATCGAACGTCCCACAATTTCTAACAAGTTCACAATTCACTTCTAAAATTGTATTATTTTCTCCATTGGGAATCATAAATTCAAATATGTATTATACATTTTCGCCCCTATTATTCCGCAATTTCACATGGCATAGGAAGACAAACAATCGACGGATTAAATTAATGTGCATAATAAGCGGCAACAGTATTATTTTAAAGTTTAAATTTCTTTTATTTACGCAACCTGTAATTAATTACATTGATATGCATCAACGTAACTACATGTTGCGTAATTAACGTTTCTTTTCTATTTTTAAATCCAATTACCATTTGATTTCTGTAAAATTTTACGATTTTATCTGATCATCCACGGAAAGATTTCATTGCCCCACTTTTTGTATCGTGTGGCGTTTTAAGTGCAATAATAAGTTTTAAATCTGATAACAGTGATTATTTAATTACATAATTATTGAGATAACAACATTTAATTTACAGTTTGTTAAGTCGTCCAGCAGATAAATATGTAGTCTAACGTGTTGACCCTCTTAACTTCAAAAGCCCAAATGAAAAGTTAGACAGACATGTGTTTTTTATGTGTATAGTTGCCAATCGAGCAAGCAGTTAACCTGTTGTAAGTGATGACGCCGCCCACGGGTATCTACAAAACTTTGAAGAACCATAAAAATTTTGGGCGCCATTTGCACACGAAACTCACTCACGAATCGAAACACGAAAGACTATACTTTCACTTCACGCCGGTCTTCTGGTGAGCCTTGGCTTTGGTGGTACTTCCCCAGGTGACCCGTTCGTGCAAAAGCAGCTTCTGTGCTGCCTGCCTACTTCAGTGAATGCGACAATGCACACTTGAACAGATGCGTAGAACTACCCAATGCGGTGGTTCAAACAAACCTCGTGGAATCTGGCTGTTCTCGTGGAACGGCCAGATTCCATCTCTTTTCTTTTCTGCCTTTGATGAAACTTTAACACACATTATAGTAATTCAAAATGAACTTTACTGTCTAATGTCTGATTAGAAAATAATCTTTTCGTCTCAAACTCTGTTCTGCTACACATTACACACATACCAGGGTGATTTAGTATCAATCAAAATGATGGGAATTTTCGACTACTGATTTCAAATCAGGTCAAAACGAAATTCCCAAATATGTAAAAATGTTATTTGTTACAAATTTTTAATTTTCATATTTATCTTATTGTTTATTTTTTTTTGCTTTATAGTATTTAACTCGTACTTGTAACCATTATTAAGTTATCGTACACTTATTGTCTTTTTAAACATGCTGTAACTACCTTTAAATGGAAACATGTAAATCTTAGTCCCCAAGACAAGTTAATCCGTTGGTGATTCTTAACAATAAATAAATATTGTATGAATAATATGGATTTTATATGTTCGATCGCTTAGTTAGGCGCTTAAAAGCCATTTCGAACGGGCTGTATATTAAAATTTTAATAAGCTAGCACTATTTTAGTTGATTAGGTATTTGTCATTTTGTTTTGATTATAGACTATTGTTTCTGTTAACAGCGCCTCAACATTTGATGTAAGCATGACACTTACAGGAATGAGGGGCAATGTAAACGAGTAATATACTAACTCATTGACCTGATTTAAAGTCATTTTAACATAATAAAATCATTTAAAGTTTGTTGTGTTTTTTTAAATTACAGATATTCCAAGCTCATGGCGACTGCGATCCCGTCGTTCCTTACAAATGGGGCCAAATGACTGCATCCTTCTTAAAAACCTTCCTGAAGAATATCGAGTTCAACACATACCAAGGCTTAACGCACAGCTCATCAGAAACGGAGCTTAAAGATATGAGGGCATTCATAGAGAGAACTTTGCCTGCAGCCACATGAAACATTTTGAAAACAAACTCCAATCCACATAGTACTTATGTAATGTATTTATTTAAAGAGGGATCCTTATATATTGTTTAAATTAAAATATTCTGATATATAATACATAATATGCATTACAGTTGGGATTATTTTTAAACCAAAAAGTAAAACTTGTAAGATTAGCTAAAATAAATGAAGTATTCCAAAAACTGACGCTTTACTGTACTTGTTTATTCGCGTAGAAAAAGCTACTGAATTATTATATTAGTAGAGAAGCGTTATTCAATCCGTTATCAAAGTATTCCAAAGTTTAATCTTAAATTTCTTAGGACATTTCCACCATACTCATGATAAATTCACATATTCATGTGTACATTGCATATTTTTTTATGTGAGAAGGTGGCAAGCGTAATTGGCGGATCACCTGATGTTAAGTGATAGCCGCCGACCATGGACAATTGCCACACCCGTAGGGATGCAGATGCGTTGCCATCTCTTATAAAGTGAGTCCAGGCTACCTCACACACCAGTCGCAACGCAGAAGTGTAACACTTCCACTTCACGTCGGTTTTCTGTGACACTTCCCTCGGACGGACCTGCCCATTTGTGCAACAGCGAAAACTGTTGCGGCGCCCTACCACAGTTGACATTTTAATAATGATACATATTAAAAAATTAAATAATAATTCACGAACTTAAAAGTTCCCGTTAGGTATTAAAAAAAAAACGTCCGTCACGCAGATATAACATAAATATATGCAAATATACATATTAGCAGACGATCATCATAAATGCATCATTTAATGTCTTCAGTAAAGAAGATGATTGGCCTCTACCATTGGCTTGGAATCCTGTTAAAGTGATGCTAGACCAAGTAGACGTTGACGACATCAGCCTCCAAAAATCTAACCAGAAAAATAAATGAATTTTCTGCTTTTAGTCTCTAGAGATAGCACTAGCTGACTGATAATGCAGACGCTATTAACTCCTCTTGCTTTTTAGAGTTCCGTACCCACAGGGTAAAACGGGACCCTTATACTAAAACTCCGCTGTCTGTCCATCTGTCACCAGGCTGTGTCTCATGAACCGTGATAGTTAGACAGTTGAAATGTTTAATTGTTGCTGCCATAAGAACAAATGCTAAAAAACAGAATAAAAAAATATTTAAGTGGAGCTCCCATACAACAGACAACATATATTTTTTTTTGCAGTTGTTATAGATAATGGTACAGAATCCTTCGTGTGCGAGTGCGCTGTACTCGCTGGAACTGTGAGCATTATTCGTATATATATGTACATACATATCTTTATTTATATAATACTGTACGACCTCCTAAACGATCAATAATCCTAATCATCGATTCGAGAATGATTTAGATTCACAATATTTTTTTTCATTTATCGGATTTAAGTAGTGTGTACAGGACAACGTCTGCCCGATCCGCTATTGTATGTATCCTTATTCATACAATAGCGGACCGGGCAGATATATTATATCCTTATATAAAATGTAAAAAGTAAAGTAACAGCCTATACATGTCCCACTGCTGGGCAAAGGCCTCCTCTATTCGGAGGGTATCAGGGCATAGTCCACCACGCGGCCCCACTGCGGATTGGCGGACTTCACATATCTTCGAAATATATTTTTTTGTTATTATTTCGAAAATATGCAGGTTTCCTCACGATGTTTTCTTTCACCGCGGAGCACGTGATAAGTGAGCACTTGAAGTTAAAAACTTCATTGGTGCCGGCACCGGGGATCGAACTCAGGTTGCTCGAGTATATTGAATTAAATTGTCTTAAAGGCGAGCGCCCGGACACTGAGCTATCACGGCTCATGTAAAGGCAGAAAAGGTATTTATATAAAATGTACACGATAATTTGTTTTGCATCGTTGACAGAGTATAGTGAATTGGATTTAGTAGCAGGATTTCTTCACACAGTTCATAAGGCATTTATGTCACTGACTTCACCACCTTCTCTATGTGTTGTACCTAAATCATTACAACGCTTAAGTCGGTACTGTTTTGGTACAGAATAATTCATATATGTAAATAAAACTAAATCTTTAATAATTGAGCGCTATGAATATTTATTCGGTGTAGAATATAACGTCATCAGCTGTTCGCTATTTAAATCAAATCAAAATATATTCACTCACGTAGACGCTTGCGCGTTCATATTGTAACGCCCTATTAATAATAATAAACATTATTATTAATTAATCATAATTAAGATGAAAATAAAACGTTTAAGATCGTTTAATCACAATAACAGTTAATAATATATATTTAAATTTAAGAAATATAAGTGTTAGTATGAGAAAATGATATTATCAAAAATTGATAAAAAATAGTTAAAAATCACTTAAAATACTCAAAACAGGATATTTATTAAAAATATAGCAAGATACGATCACTATTATGTCCATTAAATACAATTCCATACTTAGTGATTTCTAAGGGAAGTATTATGTACCGTGCGGGGACACAATTGTATGATCGGTACATATATAAGTACAGAGGTCGATCGCGACTCTTAGTACTATAGTGAAAGTACATTGTATGAACGTCCCATACCAATATCATATGGAAGTAAGGTCTAATGGATAAAAGTAATAATATGTGAAGGCTCAGAGAAAAAATAATAAATATATAAATATAATGAAGAGCAATGAATGACTGGGACTTTATAAGACATATTACTATGGAGTTGCGTGGTACTTCTGTACTACGATATGGTCTACGGTAAACGTGGAACCATGAATGGATATGTCTTCAGTGGTGGACATATCATCGATAGCTGGTGGTAGTTGGCGTCTTAGTGACAATCACTATGAGACGTTAGCTGTCATTCGGCATAGTAAGAGTTTGGTGGTAGTTGGCGTCTAAATGTGTTGCACTATGATACGTCGACTGATCATCTGACTTTGGGGAGTCTGGTGGTGGCTTGCGTCTTAGTGTATTCCACTATGATACGTTGGCTATTACTTGGCTTGGGTGGGGGTCCGTTGGTGGTTGGCGTCTTAGTGTTTACGCTATGATACGTCGACTATCATTCGGATCGTGAAAGAGTATGTTTGGACACTTCGTGTGTTCCGAGTATATTCTAAACTTTGGAGCCGAAGTTGATTGGAGTTATATTGGTGTGATGTGAGGGTGTGCCACCTACGCGATAGTCACATTGATGCATGCGGCTATATGCATTAATGCGTCTTGTGGTAGTTGCGGGGTGATCTGCGCCTAATATCATTGCATCGTATGTTTCTGGTTGACGGAGGTTCGAGGTGATGATGTCTGCTGAGTATGCGGATAGGTTGTATGTTGGCGTGTTGTCCTGCGATAGTTTTATTGATGCATGTTGCATTTAGTGACATTGCGTCTTGCGACATTTGCTTGGGAGACGACGCTATTCATAATGGCCGAGTCTGCGTCTCGGTTTGATGCACATCTCAGTAGTTTTGTCCAAGTCGGGTTCCTGATGACGGAACTGCAGACTGTCTGACCTCCTGTATACGTTTTAACATAATTAACGAATCTCAGTAAAGTTCCCACCGTTCGAACGAATAATGGCAACTTGCTGGTGGGTGAGACAAACTTGATCGAAAATACATTATACTCAACGTCAGAGACACTGACAAATAAATATATGTTGCCAATTATAAACCCTTCTGATGGCTAAACATAAAAATCACAACTATGGCTATATCTGACTATTTCAATGGTTGGTGGAGCATATGCGTTTACTTGGTGTGGATGGTAGCTGGCGGGAGAAAACCTCTCAAGGCTGCGGCGATGCCGTGCAACGTTTTAACCATACCCTTGGGGTGAGCAGTGACTCATAACGCGCTCTGCGACGAAATGTCGTGCTAACCTTTTTAATGGTGGTGATGCCAAAACACTAACAATCACGTCTGCAGTCGCGGCGGTCTGGCAAAAGTGGTGGCGCTTACGGAGGGCTTATTATATCATAGGGCCAGAGTGCCTGATCTAGAACACATGCCCAAAACCGTATTGACGTACATTCACGAAGACTGGATTTGTCGTCGGCTTGTATGACGTTTACACGCATTGACATGCGCGTCTTCGGTCAAAGTTTGCAATATGTTGGTTGGCGCTCACCGCACACAGCGCGTTGGTGAGTGTTTTCATGGAGCCGTGTGCCTTCCCTACATTTTTTTAAAATGTGGGGGAGCTGTTGACTTGTATCGGGTATGTAAAATTGATGTGAGCCCTTTTCAAGAGAGAAGGGATATTACATTAAAATTATATTGTGAGCCCTTTACAAGCGTGAGAGGGAGTATACTATATACTCTGAGCCCGTCTCAAGCGAGTCGGGATTAGTTGTTAAGAAAGCAATCTGACATTATCTCTGGCTTATACCACGACTAGTGAATATTTATCTATCCAAGATACACCTAAAAGAATCAAGTTACTAAATAAACACAACGTAAATGAGGTCCTACCGAATATGACGATCACAATAATATTTCATACGGCTAATTATTACCTTTAGAAAGATCAATAATTTATCCTGGTCACGTAATGATGTTATATGATTTATTCGTATAACGGGGCAGAAATATATATAAGTTTAATTATATATATGCATAAAGGGGGGTTCAGTTACAATATGAAACTTTTTTTTTTAATTTTACATAAAAATTAATACGTTCCTAAGTTACCACCGGTTCGGAAAGCAGTTCCTGTGGAGAAGAAACCGGCAAGAAACTCAACAGTTGCCTTTTTCGAAAAGGCAACTGTAAACTAATACAATATATAATAAGACGATGTAAGTCTTATTTTAGCCTACGTGAATATCAACAGTATAAACCCCACACATTGGTGTCGTCAAATATTCCGCAATGGTAGACTATTAAATGGTTTAATATGCCTTAGCTATGCGTTCACTTTTAATTTTGCATTTAATTTGATTTTATTATACATGCGCACACTTTGCTCCATGACGACCTATTTACTTTTTGTAGACGAAACAATGGCGTAGTCAATTTGTCC